AACAAATCTTAACTTTCATATCACACATAAACTGTGGGATTCTGTCCTTGGCCAAGTGCACAATAAGCACACACTGGTCCAGGGCTAAGTTGGTATATTGACCTGTAGAAGGTGTAGGGGTGCTCCTGGTGCATTACTTCATGTGTACTGGTCCTGTCCTTCACTGGAACTCTGTTTTCCAAACTATGTGTGAAGTCCTGCGGCATCAAATTAAACCAGATCCACTCTGTGCTAGTTTTGGTGCGGCCCAGAACAAATAGAAAGAATCTTCTCCCCCCTCGCGCGGCAGTTGGTAAAAGATATAATGTCCTGTATGGATTTAGAAAAAAGTAGACAGTTTGTGGATAAAAAAAAAAGAAATTTTATAAATTGTGGTCCCCTTCTCTGGACTTCTTTGAAAGGCTCATGGCTATTGTCTCTGAGTAGCCCACAGATTAACACCCCCCCCCCAAAACCTTATTTTCTGGGTATCTTGTGTAGTTGGGCAGCTGCCAGTAATGCCAGTGCTGTTTAATGTTTAATATCCTGAACTATTCTCTATTGTACGTTGCACTGAAGCTTTGTCTAATAGTAAGAATCAGAGCAGGAAAAAGCGATCCATTCTCAGTCCCCTGAAGTTTAAACATGGATGGTAAGCTAATTTATTTTAATGAAACCACACTGTTTAAAAAATGAGTGACAGTCACCATAGTTACAGAATTTATTTGCCTTAGCATTTGTTTTCTCCAGCATGGTCTTCATGAAGGCATCTGTGGCAGCTTGTTATTGTTAGGAAATGTAGATAAGCAGTTGTGTGTATTCTGACATCCAGGGAAACGTTGTTGGAGGGCAAAGCCCTCTACAAATCTGTGATTTTCTTTTACACAGATTTTTAGCTACATACATGAGCAAAGTGACCATCACTTACAGTTGTGCAATAATACATTGGTCAGGAATGGGTTCCTATCATCAGACGTGACATGCTGTCCCAGAGGAAGATCAAAGCCCAGCCCCCGCTGTCTGATGCGTACCTGCATGGGATGCCTGCTAAGAGAAGGAAGGTGAGAACTGCTGTTCCAAACTCACTGAACAGAAAAGTCTGATTGTGTCACAGATCCCTTCCTCACTGTTGTCAGCCTTAGCTCTAACAAAAAGACTGCATTCTCTCACCTGCATATGAAGGTAGAACTGCAGGTTTTTTGATAATGAAAAAGGCTGTTGGGCAGAGAAGGATGACGTTAGTGTTTCTACCCTTAGACGAGCCAGTGTGAAGGACCGCACCTGTCCCTGTCGGACGCAGTTAGTCGAGCTGCTCGTGCTGTGGGAGTCCTGCCTGTCTCTTCCCCAAACAGCCTGCAGGTAGAGCTGGAGAGCCCAGAGATACAGGACGCTTACGCCAAACAGGTAATCAGCTGCTGCAAATGATGTAGTATGATGTGAGATCCCTTGATTACTTAATTACTCCTGTTTATTGTTATTCATCCAAAATTGAGTATTGATTGTTGACATATCCTGTTTTGCAGTGTATCATACACTACACTAAAGTAAGCCCTGTACAAACAAGCAAATATTAAACAAAGGTTAAATATTAAACAAAGGTTAAATATTAAACAAAGGTTAAATATTAAACAAAGGTTAAATATTAAACAAAGGTTAAGGTCCCATCCAGCAATTCAAGAAAGGTTTCCAAGCCTCTTGAAAGGTGGGGACATCTCCCTTTACTACACCAAAATCCATTCAAGTTTAGCAGCATCTCACTAAGCCACCTTTTAAAACAGGGAGGTGATGCCGATTTCCATTCTGTCAGAGCTGGTCTTCCATGGGACAGGAGTGATCCGGTTTCATCAACGCCAAATAACAGTGCAGATGAATGGCTGTACTATACTGTTTGGAAATGAATAGGGTAAATGGCCAGGCCCTCCTCCCAAAGCTCATCTCAGTTCATTGGACTGGCTTTACTAAGATAATTTGCTGTAACTAGTGTAGTGAAAACTTGGATACTAAATGTTTAGAAGTTTGTTGCGCCAATAAGAGATCATACAAAGTTTGACTTTTCAAGGACATTCCCATACAAAATGATCTTGGCTTGAAAAGATGGTAGGTTGTTATTGTGAAGTGAACAGAAATGTTTCTCAGAGAGTATTTTGCATTTAATTTAGGGTCTTCAGAGAGTTTCTAAAAATGAAGTTGTCACCGGCAGATGTATGAGGAAACAACGTCATCATCAGGATGTATTAGCTTTAGCTTTATTAACAGCCAAATAAAAAACATCAAAATAAAAAACAGAAAACCCAGGCTCCCACTTTTAGTGGTTTTCTGTAAATGACCTTCAGAAGAGTGAGGAGGTCCATTACCCCATTCAAAGGAAAGAGTGAGAGAACCCAACTTTATCTACCAGTATTGTTTTTTATAAATGGGTAAGTTCCAAAAGAGATACGAACTCCGTGGCAGTACCAGCAGCCCTGGAATACAGATCTTGTACTTCACTGTTCTGAGTTAGGTTTGTGTGCGAGCTGCTGTTTCTGTCTGTATCCTCCTGCCAGGTAAAGTGTGACATCACACAACGAGTGAGAGACGATCCAGACTTTACCGGCCAGAGATTCCCCAACACACATCGAGCTTTCTCTGTAGAAGACTCCTAGTGCCAGTCAAACAGCTTGTGCCACAGAGGAGCAGGATGGGGCGATGAAACCTACCCTGCAGCGTGAGACCCTGATACATGTAATGTGGCATAAGCAAGGAAGACAGCTGCTGACTTCACTTCCTCCTCTCTTCTGTGTCATGGAGACGCACGCCGCTGTAGTTTGGTTAGAATGGGAAAGTCTGCAGACTCTTGCTAAAACACCCCACCTCCAACACCTCTGAGAAGGACCTGACAGAAGGACCTGACATCAGTGCAGAAGCAAACAGATCTACAGGATCTAGCTTAATGTCAGGATATGGTATGCAGTTTCTAATCAGTGGGCAGTCATACCAAAGTTTGAGATATTATTAGTATATTACTGTATATTAGTTAGTGGTGGTGTCACTGCTAGGAAAGAACAGAGTCAGAATGTTCAGAGAATAAAGTTTCATTAATCTGTGACACAGATGCACAATGAGAGTGAACGTGTAATCTGACAGTGTAAAAAAATGTCCGAATTATAAGCCAGCGTGCTTAATATTAGGAGGAAAAGTGTTCTAGTGTTGTTAAGGACAAAAATATTTTATGAGATAAAGTGTATTTATTGTTATAGTAAACAGTGATGGTGAAAAAAACATAGGTGAGCACTAATCTATGCTAAAAAATGATCTTCTTAAACTACTCTGCTGTCAAACAGCAGCGGTCCTGATACACTGTAATACTGAGCAGTACTGTGTTATAAATACATAGTAGCATAGAGCTTTGTCAGTTGCACTTTACCATATAAAGTCGTGATTGTCGTTAGTGTTTCCATGATATCCGCTTTATATTATTTTCACATCTTATTGATTTCAGTGAATCACAGACTTGCACATTTTAAATTTTGGGGTATTTTAGAGCATTACGTGTAATTGACTCTTGTTGAGTAATACAGGATACAGCCCCATCGGTGATATTTGTCAGCTTTGTCAAACTGTGAACTGTTACTACCTGCTTGATAACATCATGATCATAAATCCACTTTTAAATCAGTGTTTGTCAATTTTTAGTATTTATCCATCTGGATGATTGGCTTCAAATGTCTTTCTGCTTGTGGTCTCTGACAGTGGACCCATCTGTGTTTGTCCTGCTAGACCAGAGTGTCGTGTTCGATGCTGTTGACCATAATATTTCATCACAGCGATTAGAGCATGCTGTCGAGGCACTGTGCTGCAGTGGTTTGAATCATATCTATCTAATAGACTCAATGTGTTCATGGAAATGGGAGGTCCTCTTCACACAGAGGTTAATTGTTCCAGACTGCCCCCAGGCAGTATCATTAGAGGACGTAGCATCCATCTATGCACCCAGCTTTGTCTATCAATGAAGTAACACACACCAACTAGTTAAAATTGTAGGAATGTTTTAAAGACATAAAAGGGGTCATCTGATCGTTTAGTTTTCTCTGTATTGTAGGATTTTAATTTGTAAAATTACTTTACTGTTGTTGTGATTTGAAGCTGTGAAAAATACAACTGAATTGGACTTAGTATGGCACTCACAGCACAATCCAGATGGCAAACAATAATAGAAATTGTGTTAAATTTAGAATCAGACATTGATTCTTGATCATTTTTCCACCCTCTGTTAATATTATCATTCATCCAGAGTGCTGACTAGGTGCATGGTCACCAAAGGAGGTGGTGTAGCTAATCTGAGCTCCACCAGTAACAGCATCTCTAGTTCCTTTTTGCAATTTTTTAATTCACCATTAATTGAGTTGTAACATCCTGTTTAACAGTAAGAAGCCCAAATCTGATGCTCACTCTGTAGTGACCTCAAGGTCTTCTCCCTCTTCTGCTTTCTAGCTCCAATTCCTAACATGTGAAATAACAGTATATGTGTGTATGTGTATCATTTTATTCCTACATCTCCTAGACTTGCTGCATAGAGGCAAGCAGACACAATCCACTGTTAATGACCGAAAACCTTTGTAGACAAATCATTTATAGCGAAGTCAAACTTGTGCTGATCCAAAAAGGCAGCTCTCTTAACTGTTTAAGATTGTTGTGCCACTCATTCAAATATGCCAACAAGCCGGTTACCACAACTGAACGGGCAGCTAGTTGGATTAATGATCCAAAAAGCAGATTTCAATACATACGTATATAGTATAAAAATCTCAAAGGTTACATTTACACAAAAGTGCACCATATGAAAGGTGTGGTACAGCAGCCGCCAGTAGTATTTCAGACTCTGTTACTCAGAGTGACAAAATATGTTCTTATTCCTGCTGCTCTGCTGTCAACAAACATCTGCACTGTTGACCACTTCAATACTAAAAAGCTGATTGACTTTTTTGGTGGTATAAATATCTGAACAATTCCCTGATCTAGCATTAGAAAAGGAGAAGCAGAAGAAAGACTTGATGTTGTTTTAATTCAGGGACAAGAATATTTTTGAACAGCAAGCATAACTTTCAGTTTTCATGTGTTCCTATGTGAAGACCACTTTAGCTTTTCAGGGTCACATGGCTATAGAGACACTGGTTTTCCACTAATGCTTGTTCTGGGTCAGTTTCTGCTCTGTCGCAGTGATGACAGAAGCAGGGGTAACAAATTGAGAGCAGGTCGGTGTTCCTGCACTCCCAGTGCCACCAGAACCCCGGTCAAGAGGGAAGTTACTCTGGGCAGGACGGGGGGCTGAGCTGGCATCACCTGCAGGAAAGAGAACAACAAATATAACATATCCACACATATCACAGCAGGTCTCACTATCATCATGTTAATCTGACCTTTCACTGCTTTCTATCCAACATTCATGCTGATGAACGTCTTTAACTGACCGCCTGTCTATGTTCTCGATCTATGCCAATACTGACAGTGATGAGAGGCTGAAGACGCTGGTGTGTTTTAAAGCACACTAAGGTTAAAGCGGGTTAAAAGAAGTACTTGTTGCCTGGTCAGAAAGTTTATCAGCAGTGGTGCTGGGAAAACTGCACCCAACAAGAAATCTTTCTCAATCTGGCAGACAATCGTTGGGAGTAGTTATTCTATAGCACTGAAGGCGTTTTGCTGTGGGTGCTCTGGCAAAAAGCTGTTAGCTTCCTTACCTTCTCAACTTTGTGACAGTGAATAAATCCATCATGTCCCATGTAGAATGTAGAGAACGCATCATAGGACCTATGTGTAAGAGATGACATTTGGATTAAGGTTGGACAAAATATGCACCCATTTTTATGTACAAGTGTGAACGGAAGAATCAGTTATTCATGAGTCTTAATGTTTTTAATCTTACAAACATGATAGTGTTTATAGCGGACATTGCAACCTGTCTGCAAATCTGTTTCCTCTTTCCAAAAACACTCAATTCAAAAACAAGGAAACGTTAATTATATACGTAACACCAAAAGGCGAGTATATCAGAACAGTAATCTATTTTATGGAAAGATTACTTCATTACATTTTTGGGAGCTTTAAAATAACACACTGGGACAGAAATCGCCAAATCCACTTAACCTTGTAACTCCCGTGCACCCAGTTCTGGATGTGCTGTTACCTGTACAGGTGCGATTTGTCTTTGCGATAGAAGCGCAGCAGCAGAGAGTGGAAAGGAAGCCCTCTGATCCTCCAGCGAGCCTTAATGGTCCCGTCCTCTATGTGTTTGGTAAGCTTCAGTACATCCAGTCGAGCTTCAGCGTAGTAGCACAGACACAGCAGGCGCCACAGCGAGAGCGTGAGCCGGTACATCACACGGCCTCTACACCAACACACGCAGTCAGACACACTTATCAAGAGTTTGGTCAAAGGATAAGAGTTTCTTATAACGCATCACCATCACGCTAGACAAGCACATTCACCTGGTCTTGATATTTATGAGGCCGTTGATGAATTCCACATCGTTTGAGTACATGGAGTAGTCGTGGTTTGTCATAAAGAATCTTGGAAGCTGCAAAACAAACAGATGAAGATCAGTTTCAAAGTTTAGGTGCTGATGTTAAAGACAAACACTTCAACAAGATATTCTCCAATTCTATTCGTTTAAGTCTAAAAACAGAGTTTGGTTTTACAATAAGCAGGCTGCAGTTTGTGAGGAAAATGAAGAAGGTGAAGCGTATAGAGTTGTTTCAATGCTCACAGCAGTGGCAAGTAAAGCTGCTGCTGCGCCCCCCCCTAAAAAAAGAGTTTTTTCATATCCGTGTCCCCTGTACTCCATCTGATATCAGAAAATGTGCGTTCTTGTGTTTGTTTTTTGTTATTCATTTGCCCTTTCGTGCTATGGAAACAATGTGGATACAGTGTGGAAACTATTATAAAATGTCTTAATTCTTCAAACATTAAAAAACAAAACAAAAACACAAAAGTGTGTTCAAATGATCCTGGTGGTGTTAAATTGCAAAGCCGATTATTCACCATGTGATCCGAAATTGTAAATTTCAGGTAAACATGTCTGATCTGATCATGGAAAAATGAAGATACTTGATTTGTTTTCATCATCAAAACATTTGTATACAAATGTAAAATATCAACATTGTAATGGATTTTATGGTAACAGGCTGTCCCAAAAACCTGTCCTTGGAGCAAATTTACTTTTCAATGATTGTGTAAAGTCATCATACTTTTTATGGTGGTTTTGTGCAAAAATGAATAAAACATTTTACCTGAAGCTGAGTAAATCCTATCATGTGGATAGCTGCTACATTTGCAGTGGTTTTAAAATAGAATTTCTTGGTTTGCAGTATTGTCACTGTTGAGGTGTAGCAGGATAATAGTGATAAGACTTTATTATGAACAAACAGCTACATTTCTAAATACTGCATGAGATGCATTTATAAGATGAAAAATTATTTTGTGATGATTTGATGATATTTCTGATCTGTGAACAAAAGTACAAACGAGTATTGTAGTTGTCATTAATTAATTTTACACTATTGTTACACTGCCTTGAGATACAACTCGCTGTCACTGCTTGTTATGCCCTTTGGACCACACAAGGGGAAAGAGACAACAGGTTGTTCCTCTAAGTCACACAAGAACACAATTTTGTTCCTATTGAATAAAGCGTGCCCCACTGTCACATCTAGACCTATGGTGGAGTGTGTTCAAGGATAAATTATTAAATGCACACACAGGTAAACTGCTGAGTGCCATTACTGTCTTGAGAGGAGGCTACAAAGGATGCTGTAAAGTCTTCATGCATGTCCAATCATCCCAAAAAGTTGAATCTGTTCATCTGGACGTAGCTTTTTCAGTCACTTGGATGAGTGACGAAACATTTCTCCCACTGAATACAGTTGAACAGAATCTACTGTTTGGGATGCTGTAAAGTGTTTAGTGCCCTGCACATGTACTTTGTTAACCAGCTGTCACAACCTGCCACTAGATGGGCCCACGACACAAGTTTTGGGGACTCACAGGACGCCTTAAACACAGGAGACTGACACTTTTCTCTCTCTACAGATAGAGATGGCCAACACTCACAACTTCAGACTAGTTGCTAAAAACAATATAACAGGGCTCCCGGCTTCAGTTTACTGTCACTCCCCCTAATTTCCTGGAAAAATGCATTCTCTGTAGAGATGTAGACTCGATTTGCATTCTTCAGGAGAAAATTCACTTGCTGTCAGAAAAAAACTATGTATGTAGTGCTCTGTGAACAGAGTAAAGCAGCTATCACTGCAGATATTTTTTGGTTACCAGTTTGGGGGGCCGGGGAGCTACTGGTTTACATCAATTAGCCAGAAGGATGCATATTTTTCATCTCTATCCCACTCCCAGGAGATAAGAGGTTTGTTTTTCAGGGCATCTGTGTTACCGTCCCTGCAACATGTAACTTTAACGCTATTGAAAATGCTTGGGGCGTCCTCCACTTGCTGCCTCGACTGTAAATGTAACTGGAGGTGGTTGACAAACGGTGTAACAATAAGGGACACGTTCTGTGTCTGGTGTTGGTGTGATTTTATTATTCTTACAGGATCTGACTGACAGGGTAAAGGGTCTGGGGACAAAACAGTACCCCTTGATGTGCCATTTTATGAAAGGCTCCTCCCCGTCTCCAGGGAGACCAGACACCCCCTAGAGATTTAACAGTGGTGTTGGATGCAGGAGGGAGCAGCATCCTGGGGTTATCAGTCCAGGACATTTGTGCAGCAGCAGGAAGCTGGTCCACACCCCTCACTTTGTGCAGTTTGACAGGCAGAATGAGATCAGTGCTTCTGACGATTACACCGGGAAGCGAATCATAGTGACCATTTCACTCATGCTGCTGGGGTTATGCAAGTAACCTAAAGTTACTGACAATAATTAATTAATTAATCATTCGTAAGCCATACGCTTTATCACAAAGAGAATGCAAAATAATCTGTATTTCAGTGCACAAGTTGGATTAACTTATATACCTCAAGCCTCAAGTGTACAGTCCAAGTTATATATGTGTATTAAACAGTCAGTACAGACTGTAGTACTAAATGCTTTGAATAGTCAATAAGAGTATGAGACTATTTAAATGTGTCTGTTTATATTTCAGGAAGAGACTGATTGCCAGGCAAGCGTTGAGTCAGATACAGCTGTCAACATAACCAATGACAGCTATCATACTGTAGTGGTTCTTACCTCTATCCTCAGCCTTTCATACACCAGGGCCAGTTTTTCCTCTCCTTCCCTGTCGCTCTCAATATGCTCCCCCTCTGCTCTGCCTGTATGGCTACACAGCGATACAGAGGGCAGCTCCACCGCCTTCTTGTCAAGTCCGCTGTCCTGGCTGTATTTTAGCACACTGTTAGGCACCAAGTGTGTGCCAGGGCAATGAAAGCAGTAAAACTTGGAGCCAGACATGAATGGTGCAGGACATCCCTCAGTTTCAAACAGGCTTCTGAAGCAGCCGTGTTCTCTCTTTACAGCATCAGTGTCGCTACGTTTGAAGGTCACTACGTTAATGTCATCCTCTCTGCTACCATCCACTGTGGTCAGTGGAAACAAGAACTCTGAAGACGTGAGGGGCCTTCCCATTTTGTTGTGACCAAACAGAGGGATCTCCAGAAGGGTGTGGAGGCCATGTGACTCGCCCTGTCGCACCAGCACACAAACACTGAGAGAGTCCTCCCAATCCTCCTCGCCGTAGCGCAGCATTTGAGGCTGGCTCGCATGATGTATTGGGTTAGACAGCACCGGCTGCCTAAAGTTCTGATATCTCAGGCTGTTGGGTGGGGCCAGGGCCCATGCTGCACTGCTCAGGGGGCGGGTCTGGCAATCCACCACCTAAAGAAGCAACAAGGACTTGGTGTTATTATTGTAAGCATATAGAACGTGATATTTCATTTTAATAGCGGTCTGAGATTTTGAGTTAGATTAGATTGTAAACAGTTTAATCTCTCAGTATATCCTTGGTTTTTCCATTTTTACTTACACACATTTATTCTGGATTGGAGAGCAAATTGGGATTAGTATCTTGCCCAAGGACATTTGACATGCAGACTGGAGCAGCAGGAATTCAACCACCAACCTTCTGATAAGTAGATGACCTGCTCTAGCTTGTGAGCCACAGCCACCCTAAACATGGAGCTAAACAAGCTCCAAAAACTTTAAAAAGCTGTCATATATTGGATTTATGTATAATACCTGCTTAGAGTAGGGCTCCATGGTGTAAATTAGCATTAGCTTTATACACATAATGAATGAATCTGTAACTGATTGATTGAAATGTGTGTCACATGAGCACAGAGCCAATCGAATACTTATTTCTCTCTGTGACATGTAAATCAGTTTATACCCTTTATTAACTGTTATTAATGTAGTTTTCCTGGATTTGTGGCCCATGTTTTGTCTCTAAAAAGTAGAGACTGTTCACTTCTTTGTAAGCAGTGTTGGTCAAGTTACTTGAAAAAGTAATCAGTAACTAATTACTGATTACTTCCCCAAAAAAGTAATCCCGTTACTTTACTGATTACTTATTTTCAAAAGTAATTAATTACTTAGTTACTTAGTTACTTTTTTAAAACACGATTTACAACCTGAAGAGGTGATAAAGCGATATCTCTTTCAGCCCAGTTCTACTTTTTCTACATAATCCATCATACAAAATGTAATCAAATGGAAAAGTCTCTTTTTAAAACTTGTTTTATCAGTTTTAATCTTTTAACTTTATGCATCAAGCAAAAATTTAATTATATGCCACATTCTGACTGGAAGAAATTTGTTTAACATTTAAACCTATTTTCTGCACATTCCAGCACATAAAATAAAAAAAATTTTGTGTTTACACTCAGTCTTTAAATAGATGCAAGTAAAACACAGCAGAAAATAAATAAAGTCAAAGACTCAGCGGTCCTGTTGCTCTATTTTCACCTGTAAAGCAGGAGCAGGGCAGGCGGAGGTTTACCCTGGTGCAGGTGTGCCGTGGTCAGTTGAAGAATCCGCGAGTTTCTCTGTGAGTTTCCCATTACGTCGTAGCTACTCGGTGCTTGTTGGAAGTTTAGGGGTTTTTCGCTGTAAAAAGAAGTTTTCTTCCCACGCACAGCGGACACTAATGTTTTTGTTACTTTTTATGGAATCAAACTCAAAGTAAGGTCAGTACTTCCACGCTTTAAACGCTGCACGCTCATACTCTCTCCACACTCGATATATGAACCATTGTTGATCTGCACACAGCTGTTGTCACCAACGGCGCACTCGCTTACGTCACTGTCATGAGACATTCTCGCAAAAAAATCACGGTTTTAGTAACGCAGCGTTCCTACGGGAAATCTAATTACCGTTTTTGCAATAGTAATCCCTTACTTTACTTGTTACTTGAAAAAAGTAATCAGATTACAGTAACGCCCATCTCTGTTTGTAAGTGAGAAAATGAGAAATTCAGATCAGACCATTATTTCCTCCACTGCAGCGTCTCGCTGTGCCTGACTGGACACATCTGCCTGTCAGCTTTATTCAGCACATCTCACTTTCCCATCAGCTCAGTGTCAAGCAACTGATGAGCAGCACCTGTTTTATAATAAGTTTTACAACCTTTGTGCAGTGACTGATCATGACGTTTTACTTTCTGGTTGCCATTTTTTTTGCACTTTACCCTAGTGAGTTCACCGTGACTCATCTGTCATAATACAACCTTTTGTAGTAATAAAATGTAAACGGAATGTAATTCATCCTGGGGAGGATGTGATTGTTTACTTTGTACGTTCCTACGCTGCTAAACATTGACATAAAAAGTTGTGTGAAGACTTAATAACCTAAGTGTTGGAGCTAGCCTAGCTGGTTCCCACTAATTCAAGTATAACTCTTGAAGGGTGTCCAAGAAGTAAGACTTCTTTGTGACAGAAGTATGTGAAGCCTGCAATCAGCCTTTTCCATGTCCAACATTGAGTTTGCTTTTTACCTGGACAGACAACGATGAAAGCTGAACACATACCTGTTCTAGAACAGAGAACAGCTGCATCTCTGCCCAAAAATATACTCTTATTAGAACTCACGTTGTTTCTATAGGTTAGTTAAAAACCTATTAAAAAAAACTCTATGCAGCAAAAATGATCTGCAGGTCTGCATCATATTATGATTTAGTGCTATACATAAACTAAATTGAATTTAACAGTGAAAATTGACAGCAACCATAAAGCTACAGGTCCAACTGTGAACTTTGTCAACCAGTTAATGCAAAGAAATCTCTTTAAAAAACAGACAGACGGGATCGGCATTCATTGATAGCATTATTTTCAGGATACTGAGTACTAAATTCCACCTTCTTAACTACTTATTCAGTTTAGGGTCATGGGGTCACGCCCCTTTTCACTTTCATCTATGTCTGTTTACATCTAAATTAACACACAGTTCAGAGGACTGTACTACGAAACAGGACTTGGGCTCATCGAGGTAGCTTCAGGGTTAATCCTGGGTTTTAGTAGCATGAAGATGTTTTACTTCTTACCGAGGTCCATCGGTTTATGCTGCAGAGTTTACCTGCTCCAGAAATAGTTATGCTGGAGACTTGAGATCAGCAGGTATGAAATCACTGCCTACTGAACAATCAAATTCCTGTAAAATATTATTTCCAGAAGATTTCTCTTGGACCTTAAGTAATTAAAAAAATGTTTCACAGGGAACCTATTTGTATTTGTGGACCTTGAATGAAATTTTCACACATGCTTTTCTAGGTATGTTCAATTGTTTTGTAGTACAGGTCTAAGTAAAACAAACTATTAACAGCCTAAAATAACTGGAATACTGGAGTATTTGTCAACTGATGCATAACAAGAAATCCAGTAAATTACCTGTCTGACACTCCAGCTCCATTTTTGGATGGGCTGCCTTCTCCCGTGGCTGCGGATACAACCCACCCAGAAGGCCACGCCTCCTCTGCTCACAGACATTCACCACAGGGTCAGGGCAACCCCGGTCACCCGATGACCATCACCCACAGCACAGACAACAGCACAAAGACTTTACGACTGGAAGATTCCCAACTACTCCAGAGGCCCTCTACCTCATCTACTTGAGACCACAGAAGAGAGAATAGATCGAGTTAGCTGTTCACACGGCTACATGACATTATTACAACAGAGATATTAACCTGCTGACAAAATGATTAGTTGATTATCAAGCAAAAAATGCAAAGGCAGTTTTCTATGTTTTCACTGTAATTCGTACCCGAAACGTGAAACATTATCAGTGTCTGATAACCAAATGATTTTTTTAATCAACTGACTACACTGATATGATATATTTGCTAAAAAGTTAATATTGGCTAACATTTTGTTCAGTCTGGTGCAATAAGAGCTTAATAAATACAAAAGCTGTGCTGCACCTTCTTTTCTAAAAAACGGCTGAATGATATTTTGTCCACCTAACAGATGCAAGTCTTATAGCTCTGTTTTTGGCACCACCAGCTCCTGAATGCTTGGCTAGGTCCTGCAGCTTCTCTGACAGTTAGCACTGCACCACACACTAGTTATTCCAAAAAGCTGCATCAGTACAGCAGGGAGTGCAGAGGACACTGGCAGAGGATTCGTCTCAGCTTTTGCTGCAGCACCTCATTTGGCTTTTACAAATCAGGCAATCACTCTGTAACGTTTTACTGGCCACATGATTCATCTTAAAAACAAATATGCTTTGTTAAATCAATAATTTTATGTAAGCTCCGACATTTGCATGTATTAGGAAGATTTTGTGTGATAATAAATCTTGTGGTGTTTGTGCAGCAAGATAACACAAATGCTACAGTTCAGGCATTCAACTGAAGGTTCTCTCGGACTGCCAGGAGCACGGGACCTGAAGCACACCTCACGTTTATAATCAGAAACTCCATGGTGACAGCTGGCATCCAGTGTAACACGTGAACACAGGCCTCTTCCTTACAACTTCAAATGCACTACAGCCAAAATGAACAGAGCAGTCTCAACCGCTCCTTTAAGTTCAGTTGTCAGTTGCATATCTTCCAGCTGACAGCGGCTTTTGAGTGGACGCTTCTTAGGTCATAACTCGTAAAAGGAAATTATTGGGTTATAGCATTTAACAAAAAAGTTTAAAAACAGCATTGCTAAAAATTTCAGGACTATTTTGTTTTAGACTGTCACACAATCCAATTACTGCAGTACAAATTGTTGTTTTAAATAACTTGGAAAAATGAATGTTTACATTTTTTTATATTCTCCGGAGGTTAAATGGGGCACAGCTGCGTTTTAACTTGTCAGACATCCCTGTATGGTCACATCCGGATTTTCTCCGAAACTATCGCAACATAAACCATATATGTATCCCTACAACGCTGATATTAACTCGGAGATTTCAGCTAGTGCTGGTTACATGCAGTGACAGTCAAATAATAGCAGTTAGCTTTCAATGCTAACTAGTCAACAGCTAGCAATGAGCTAGCCACCGGTTTGGAAAAGAGCCTCATGTTATCTTTTCCAGACGAAGTCCCTGGTCCGTCCAAATGTTGTAAGTCTCCGGTTAGATTGTGTACAACAGTCGCCGCAGAATCAATTAACAAACTAGTAACATTCCGCTGGTAACTTACACAAATGTCATTCCAACCCTGTAAGTGTCCTTGCCCGGCCAAACACACCTCACGCAGCCAGTCGTGATGCTGCTTTAAGGTCTATTGGAAAAACGGCCACTGGCTCAAAGCGCCACAAACGATCAAACAATGCGGCATAAAAAATGTCACGTGTAGCGTCTACACTTTCAGTCGCGTTAACTAAAGAAAATTCCTGTTGTTTGTGGTTTGTTTTTCTCTCTGACTTATAAAAAAGTGTTTAAAACACAAGTAGCTTCCACATCATGTGACGTTTTAGTTTCTGAATCTAAAAAAATGTATGACTGTAGAAAGCACTGGTAGAAGGCCGCGAGTACACCCGCTCTTAAAATCGATATCAGTATTTTTACAGTTATATTTATAACTGTAAAACATATAACTATAGTTATATTTCATTTTTTAAATTGTTAAAATCTCTTTATCATTATATGTGACACAGTGGCTTGTATAATAGTTTTGCTACACAGCATTCCTCCCATCATCTAAGTGGAAGCTCACATTCAAAAGACATTTATGACGTAAAAAAATGTGTTTTAACTAAACATTTCTTAATAAATGGCAGCAATACATTGTCGCAGAAGGCTTTGCTCGACTTTTCCTGTCAAGACTCCAGTCCAGTAGGTGGAGGTAATGCTCATTTAAGCTGGTTTACTGCTCTCCAATAAACCCAGGAAAAGTAGTTTGTTTTTTTTTGTTGTTGTTTTTTTCAAAAAAAAAAAAAAAAAAAAAAAGGAACAAGACCAACAACAAGACCTCAGTTCTACATATATGTGGGTTGGTGGCCGCTTGATACCAGGAGTCCCTGAACAGGTTCACAGGACAGTAGAGGACAAGGCCTTATTCCAGAAAACATGTTCATCAAATTCTGAGTTTAAAAATAAACTCTGAATAACTCTTAGATCAGCTAAGATCTAACCAGAATAACAGAACAGCTGGCTGGATGTTTGGGAGTTTTGATTTTAGCTGATCAGACTTAGTTCAGTCACCTCTAAATTAAGAGCATCCCCGAGCAGAGAAAGAAAGCCATTGCCAACACTAATATGTTGTATGATTCCTATGATTCACTAATATGAATCCTAATTTTACATTTGAATTTAAATCTAATTATTGAGCTGTAATCTGAGAGGGACCAGAGGTAGGTGACAGAAAGTGAAAAAATCTGGAGGAAGAGATCAGACACTGTGATGTCAGTTACCTCCAGACTCCAGCGTGGATCTGTCCTCAAGCCTTTTTATGATGATGATGATAATAACAACAACAACAACAATAATAATAATTAAAAAAGTTTTTGCCCATTTAATTTTTTTATAATTCCAATAATAATAATAAAGAACTCCATTATTTCTGCTATCAATGGATAAAAACTGTTAAAGATAGAAAACCTCAGCTTTGATGTTCCCATTGTCAGCGTTTATAATTGAATCTAATATCAGCCTTTACTGATGATGGCTACCTGACAGTCAGGGGAGCTTTTTAGGTCTAATAGGTGTACAGTTTTATTATAAAAGGCAAACATATCACAAATGTCTGAACTTTTACAGATTTTGGATACTTCAGTGTCAGTCACAGTATATTTCAGTAAGACAAGGTGGAAACTGCTCCTACATCAATAAAGGCTGGTGTATTGATGTCACAGTGTTAGGAAAGTCATGTAGCCCTCCCCTACAGGCTTTTCTTTTAAATTGCAAACTTCGCCAAGGGAGTTCTCCTCATTCATTCTGGTCAGTGTTTACATCCCACCACAAACCTGCGTGTCAGAGGCTCAAAACCAGCTCACTGACCAGATAACTGACATGGAGAAAAACACCAGGTTGACAGGTAAGTGAGGAGAACTATGCTGTTGTAACATGCAGTGCAGCAAGAATCTCAGCAGCACTGAACAAGGTGCACCACTGAAACATTTACACCACTAATTTTCTCTGCCAGTTTATTCCATGACAGCTTTTAAAGTTACAAAAATAGGGATTATACTTAGATTCAAAGCATCTTCACCATTGTGAAGAACCACAAGGAAGACCTGGACAGTTTACGACAGTATATTGACAAATGTTTCAAGTATGTTGTTATGGGGAAACCAGATAAGAAGATCCCTACTAACTCTTGTAGCAAAGAAATGCCTTCCTCAAAACAGCTTCTCTATAAAACAGCAATATGGTGGACATTCTGACATCCATAGAGAAAGAACTGTCCAGCTTTGCACACACCTAGCCCTCCTGGAAATCCTGCATAAAGATTTTCAGGCACCACGTGAGTCTGAGGAGTCCAGCCAACAGCAGGTGGTAGAGCAGGTTATCTACTGATCGGAAGGTTGGTCGTTTGATTCCTGTCTTCCCCTAGTCTGCATGCCAAATATCCTTGGGCAAGATATTAACCCCAAATTGCTCTCCGATGCATCCATCGGAGTATGAATGTGTGTGAATGTTACTTAGAAAGCACTTAGATCAATGTGCTTGTGCGAATGGGTGAGAATGGGTGAATGCACAAGTTGTGAGTGCTCAGAAGAGTAGAAAAGCGCTAAATAAGAACCAGTCCTTTTACCATTACCATTTAACAGTCACTGTCAGAAACACTGCCCTCAGAGAGTCAGGCAAACAATAGACCATTTTGAACAGAAGGAGCCGGTGAAGAGGGGAGCCGAGAGGAGCAGACTTCAAGGTGAACAGTGAGTTTCCTAAAGAGATCCTGGAGCGACATAAGGTCCTGTTCCTGATCCGAAAGTTAATCCAAGGAGGCTCCCTACCTGGCATCATGGTTTTACGTCACCAGGCAGCTTTATCATGACCAAAACACCACACCATGGCTGTACCTTATTTTAATTAATTTTGGATTTGGTTCATTCTTCATAAATTGGATCAAAACACTATACAGCTCTCTAAACGCATCGGCTACGACTAATGATCTTATTTCCCAAAGCTTCAATCTACAGAGGGGCACAAGACAGGGCTGTCTGCTTCCCCCCTCACTTTTTTTTTTTTTAAATCAAACCACTAGCAGGAGCAATCTGCCAAAAATGTAGATAGTAAAGGAAATTAACTGAAAATATAGACCATAACATAAACCGATATGCTGATGATGTATTACTTTTCCTATGGAACACACAAATCTCTCTTCTGAAGACGAACACACTCACAGATAAGTTCTCATCCAGTTAGCAAACTCCAGTATACTCCAGTATGCTAACTGGAGTAAATCAACCGTTCTGGCCCTAAATTGTATGCCTGTACAAAGTTTCTGGCAGAGGATGCATGAAGACTTATCCACATGTATGTTTTTCTTTTATCTGTTTATTTATTCATTTCTATTTGTGTTATTTCAGCTATTACATTATATGTAGTATAGTATGACAATGTCTAAGGCGGGACAGGCAGAAGAAAAAATGAAGGGAGGAGAAAATAGAGAAAAATATACAGCGGGATGCAAACGTTTGGGCAGCCTTGTTAATAGTCATTATTTGCCTGTATAAATCGTTGGTTGTGACAATAAAAATGTCAGTTAAATACATCATATAGGAGACACACAGAGTGATATTTGAGAAGTGAAATGAAGTTTTAATTGTTTAAACAAAATCAGGCAGGTGCATAAATTTGGGCACCACAAAAAAAGAAATGAAATCAATATTTAGTAGATCCGCCGTCTGCAGAAACTCCAGCCTCTAAACGCTTCCTGTAGGTCCCGATGAGAGTCTGGATTGTGGCTGAAGGTATTTTGGACCATTTCCTCTACAAAACATCTCTCGTTCATTCAGGTTTGATGGATTCCGAGCATGGTCAGCTCTCTTTAACTCACACCATAGATGTTCAATAATATTCAGGTCTGGGCTGAGATGAACGTTCCAGAACGTTGTTCTTGTTCCTCTGCATGAAAGCTTCAGTGGATTTTGAGCAGTGTCTCGGTCGTTGTCTTGTTGAAAGATCCAGCCCCGGCGCAGCTTCAGCTTTGTCTCTGATTCTCCAGAATCTGCTGATACTGAGTGGAATCCATGTGTCCCTCAACTTTGACAGGATTCCCAGTCCCTGCACTGGCCACACAGCCCCACAGCATGATGGATCCACCACCATATTTTCCTGGAGGCAGCAGGTGTTGTTCTTGCTGTGTTCTTTTTCCTCCATGCATAACACCCCTTGTTATGCCCAAATAACTCAATGTTAGTTTCATCAGTCCACAGCACCTTATTCCAGAATGAAGCTGGTTTGTCCAAATGTGCTTCAGCAAACCTCAAGCGGCTCCGTTTGTGCTGTGGGCGGAGCAAAGGCTTCCTCTGCATCACTCTCACATGCAGCATCTCCTTGTGTAAAGTGCGCCGAATGGTTGAACGATGCACAGCGACTCCATCTGCTGCAAGATGATGTTGCAGGTCTTTGGTGCTGGTCTGTGGGTCGACTCTGACTGTTCTCACCGTTGCTTCTGTCTATCCGAGATTTTTCTCGGTCTGTCACTTCGAGCCTTAACTTGAACTGAGCCTGTGGTCTTTTTCTCAATATGTTCCTAACTGTGGAAACAGACGGCTTAAATCTCTGCCCAAATTTATGCACCTGCCTGATTTTGTTTAAACAATCCTTGCACACTTTCTGTAAATCCAATAAACTTCATTTCACTTCTCAAATATCACTGTGTGTGTCTCCTATATGATATATTTAACTGACATTTTTTATTGTAACAACCAACGATTTATACAGGCAAATAATGACTACTAACAAGGCTGCCTAAACGTTTGCATCCCACTGTAATTATAGGATAGAGTACAAACAGAAATACATAATGTATCGCCACCTGCTGCACCTGTAAGAAAAAAGCAAACATACAGCACCTGGAACACAAAAATATGAAAGTGGTGGTGTGAGTGTGAACGAGAGATAGCAATAGAGAGAGAGTGTTGAGAGTGTTGAGTGTGTGTATGTGTCTTTTTCGTGAAATGTACTTGAAAATGAGCGTGAGCTGCACTAAAAATCTGTTAGTAGGATGTGTGTCTGCTCCAGGACCCAACTGTGTGTCTGAAAGTCTGTGCCAGCCAACTGGCCCCAATCTTAACTCATATCTTTAACAGATCTTTGGAGCTATATGAAGTGCCTCCACCATCATCCTGGTCCCAAAGAAGTCC